ATGTGTGTGTGTGTGTATGTATATATACATACACACACACACACACATGTATATATATATAAAGAGATGTTTAAAAAAAAGAATTAAGATGTGACATGAATGTGTACCAACTTTCCACAGTGAGTGTATTCCTTATGTGTTGCGAACATATGCAATGAAATATAAAATAGAAAAGGGGAAATAATTTATTTAAGTCCTTTTTGATTAGCCTATGCAGAGTTTAATTAAGGTATCATAAATACCTTTTAATAATTTTCTTTTCACATTAATCTTTATATTCCTATGTTGTTATTTTAACTACTAGATCATGAAAGTAAATTGCCACATAACCAACAAAAATAAATAAAAACTACTATGCACTAGGTGTACTGCTTCATTTACATTATCTCATTTAATATTCACAACTTTTGAAGTAGTTACGATAACCACTAGCTCTTCAGCTTCTAGAGGAGTTACAATAACCGCTGGCTCTTCTAGCACCCGCAAGATGGTCCCATCAGTGAGCAAAGAGACTACAGACTTCTGCCTGAGGTGTATGGTCCAGGACTGTTTCCTATTCCTGAGACCACCTGCTGATCTTTGGCCCTGAGGCCATGCCTTACTTCTACGAGGCCTGGTACTGGATCCGGCTCTCAGGACTCCAACTGCCTGGGTTAGATTCCATCTGTGAATAGACAGAATTCCCAGAGCTGTGTTGCTGCCACTTATCTGAACTTCCAGCATCTTTTCACAGCAGGAATTGCCACTCCTGTGCCCTGCCTGTCCAACTGGACGCTCACTGGTTGCTGTTGCCTCCCCAAGCTGTACCTGATCTTGGCGAGTGCATTGTACTGCTGCCCTTGTATAGCCAACATCGTCTTGCTCCACTCTGTCCTGGCCTCCCTATTTTCCTACATAATGATTTATGCTACGGAGACTTGCTGTCTGCAGGCTCAAGACAGATGTGATGCTCATCCTATACCATGGGAGGAAAAGGCTGGCTATAAACTCCTTACTTAGGACAAGAACTAGAACTAGGCCATGCGCATAACCATTTTACTAGAGGTTCTTTTTTTCATTCTTTAATTTATTCATTCATTCAGTGGGCATTTACTGATCTTGTACTTGCTATCAAATACTGTGCTGGGTAGTGGCACTACACAGGTGAGAAGTGAAATCCCTGTCCTCATGGAGTTGTTCTGAATGCACCAAGATGATCGATTTTAACAAATGAGCACACCATAATGTTTTTGCAAATGTGGCATAATAGGTGTTATGAATACAAGATGTGAAGGCAGCATTAAATCTCAAATATAACAGATGTTTAAGAACTACCATGGCTGTTGTACTCTCATGAAAGGTGAGTAGGTCAGAGTGTCTGTAATAAGCCGGAAGTTGGCATATATGAGAACCTGAAAGAAGGCTGACTGTGCTGGAGGACCCGGATGAAGGGCTGACTGGAAAGCAGAAGTGGGAGACATTTGACTGCCGTATAAAAGTCCTGATTGCTCCCAACTAGGTGTTCTTATAAAGACATACACTCAAGCACTGAGATCTGGGATGGACCCGAGGCGTCTGGATATCAACACCCCACACACCA